TGAGTCAAAAGTAGGACCATAGGGGATGTTATGTCTCTCCATGTGTGAATGTTTCCTATGCTTTCTAGGAGAGATGTGGACTAGTTGGCTTGCTGTTTGATACAGCCAATAGATCTAAGTAGTATATGCTCTGTATGTGTGTGTGTGTGTGTGTGTGTGTGTGTGTGTGTGTGTGTGTGACTGCTGAGACTAATGTTTGAATACAGTTCCTAGCCATGATGAGCATTAGTTGGGGAAGTTTACTGTAAACTATATTGTTGCTACTTGTGTATGCATGTGTGTGCGGGAGAGAGAAGTTCTTCTGTTTTTAATTGCTTACGCTAACACTTTTTATCTGTCACTTTGCAGATCTCTGACCTTTATAAGAACCTGGAATATAAAGAGATAAAAATCTTGCAACTGTCAGATATGATTAAAAACTGTGAGAGAGAATTCAGACAGTTTTCACAGCTATTTTGCAAGAATAGCAGCCTGCTGGCAAGCACTCAGGTAAAACAGGTCTCCTTCCTTAGTACCTTCCTTGCCTCAATGGAAAATTAGTGAGAATCTATTTCTGAGGAGATTTAGTTTTGCTGTAGCCTGATGTATGAGATTTTCTAAATTTATTTTGTTTTTATTATATATTTACATTCTGAAAGCATCAAATAATTCTTAAAGGTAGCAGTGTTTCATTACTTTTTTTTTTTGTCCTTTCAAGTTTGTGTTTTTTATTAGACTCGCATGTCGTAGTCATATCTCATTAATTGAGATGGTCCTTGAAATAAGTTTGAGGCTTATGTCATAAATAAAAATAGTAATTATGCATCTCCATGGAATTTTGGAGTTTCAAAAATGAACAAGATAGTAGGCAACAATTGCCTGCATCTCCAAGGAACTATGACAGCAAGAAAGATAATAAAGTAGAAGGAGGAAAAGGCAAGAAGCTCAATTTGTTTAAGCCTCCAAAAAGAGTTGTGTGAAAGAACAGCCTTGTTCCCATGTCATGGTGCTATTGTAGAGGGCTCCAAACAGTTGCAGCAGTTAGAACTGTAACACTTCCACCTACTCAGCTCATATAAGATGATTCCAATAAAAGATTTTATACACACACACACACACACACACACACACACACCTCGGGGTTGAACTGTGGAGTCCTTGGTGCTCT